ACCCCATTATAGTCAGTCCAGTTGCGAAAATGCGACCCCATCCAGCAGCACATCCCCATTAGCCCATTTATAGGAAGTGCCCCCCCTCCCCTGGGTGAACAGGAGAGGGATGTACATGTACTATTTTAACAGTAATTGTTTGATTTCAGATGGAAGATAAAATTTATTGTGTACAATTTTCTTCTTTTGTCAGGCTACTTGAGGAAGAGCTGGATTGATGTGGATGAATAAGTCATTTGGAAAAGAAGACAAGGAAAGAAGGAAGGAAGGAAGGATGTTTGAAACTGACGGGGTGAAGAGACAGATCTAGACCGAAAAAAGACAGACTTGGGATTGTTGTACATGTAAATGGCAACAGCTGCAACTGGAAGAAGCGAAATCAGTCTCCTTGCCTGACCAGGTAAATACTATACTGGAATTGATTATCTCATCTGAATTTTCAAGCAGGGGTGGGGGTTATCAAGAGGATCAGATTCTGCCATACATGTATATGTATGCTGTTACAGAGGGAAAAAATAACTTACATCAGTCTATACCTCTCCCAGTAAAGTCAGTCCTGAATCCTGAAAAGGGCCAAATGGGCCTGAGAACAAGAAAGCTCAACACAAAATGGCAAACTGGGCATCCCTGATTACGAGATGCCTGAAAAATGTTTGTTTGTGAATCGTTGCAGAGATGTTTTTTTTTTTACTGGGAGGGGACGCATCTTTCTGGGTGAGTGAAAATTACACCAGCAAGTGCATTTTTAGAGACACTGGCCCGAATGGCAAGTGATATCAAAATGTAGTTTCCAACACTGAATAATATTATGTACAGGTTGAGCTTCACCTTGGGCTGTCACCTTGTAGTGGTGGTGAGGCTTGGGTGTCTCAATGACCCTAAGAGCTGTGCCGGCTGGGACTCTAGTCCCTGGCAGGTTTAACCATGCCGGATTGGTCGAGGGGTAGAGACCAGACAAAGAACAGCCCCTGGTCCTCCAGGTTGGGGGTTGGGCGGTGGGTCAATCACCCGCCCCCTTAAAACAAAGCAGATTACAGAA